CATATATATATATACACACACACATATATATATATATATATATATATCTAAATATGTTTCTAAAAGTAAATGTTTAACTAAAACTGCATCCATTTTTATGCAATTTGTCATCGATTTAAAAGAGATTTAGTAATTCACTGGCTGACTATAAGATTTAAAAGACGTAACTTTTTTTGCTTTTGTACTGAAATATTGAATCTTTCCCTATTTATCTATTATATTCTACTATCTTTGTCTTAAAATAAGTGTCTACATTACTATTTTAGATTGTTTAATAATAAGCATCAATTTTCAGATATAAATGTCTGTTTTTCTATTTTATCCTTAATTATGAAATGGGGAAAATTTTCTTTCTCTAAAATTAAAGGTAAAATTGTCATTTGGATCAAAAAGTGTAATGACTACATACTTCTAAAATTAAAAAGTGTAATATTTCGGTTTTGGAGTATTATATAATTAGGTGTTTCTAAATCAGATGAGGGATTTTATGAGAACATGAATTAAGGTGAGAAACATAAGAAAGAATCTGGACTTTTGATCATTTTTAATCTCATTTTCACACCCATAAATTCATTTAATATGGAAATTGATCATGTTCATTGATTTTCAATTAGAATTGATCTGATGGTGGAGATCATTTCATACCCTTCTCACCATAACTTTCATTCTCATCGAAATCTTAACTTACATTTCTATCCAAAAATATGTAACATTTCTTTTATGATTTTAAATTATCCCCAAAACCCAATAACTTTTACATGATTTACCTTTCACTTCCCTTCATTACATTTTTTCACGGGCCCCCAACCCCAATCGAAACCGTTACTCTAACCAAAAAAATCTGTTGAAATCAATCAAAAAACCAAAAAAGTTATTCGAAATCGACAAAAACACTAAAAAAATCCCTTGAAATCAACCAAAAAACTTTAAAATCCTCGAAAACGTTGTAATTAGGTTAAAAACACTTCGGACGATTTTACGGGTCTTTGGTCTACCTTAAAGGTGACTCCACTGAACATAAATATTGAATCCGCCACTGAAAGTAACCATACAATAAATATAAACTGCTTATACAGATCAAAAGACAACTAAAAAATCAGAAGCATTTTTAATTTAGAATTAAAAAAAAAAACAAAGGAAGAAAAGGAAAAAGGGAAAACAACACAAACCGTCCTTTTTGCTTCTTTCACTACTTCATTATTCAACCCTTTTTCCCCTTTTCTCCGTTTTTATCGTTTCTTGTAGTCTCTCTTTTTTAAGTCGAGTTTACGATGGAATTAAATTTATATGATATTTCAACGTCGTAACAGTATATTTTACAGGATTATTGAAGTTTATATGACCAAACTGTAAAGCGTTCTGTTTAAAAGTGTTATAATAGGTTTATAAGACGTTTTTAATGTTTTGTCAAGTTTTTATGACGTTCTTGGAAATAAAGTGTCGTGTTAATTATTTTACATGACGTTTTTGAGAAGTTTCCAATAAACCCAGAATATATTCAATTGAAGAAATGTAAAGTATATACATTTATAGGACATTTTTTGCAAATAGTATCATATAAAATAACTAATATGATACTTTATTTTTAAAGTGTCCTAAAAACTTGTTAAAATGCTAAAAAACGTCATATAAATTTATTGTAACACTTTTAAATATGATGTTTTTTTGGTTTGGTTTTATATACTTTAGTCTTGTATAGTATTTTATTTGGTATCTAAGATGTTTTAGACATCCTGTAAACCCAATTTTGTTATAGTGATCAGAGATTTGTATAATTAGGGGTGTTAATGAGTCAAGTTGACTAACAAGTTATTCGGACTTGGTTTGAGAAAATAATACCAGCTTGAGCTTAAATAAATAATTATTCAAGATAGTGCTCGGGGACCGTTGAACCAACGAGCCATCGACCATTCGGTAAATTGTTACCGAGCAATTATGCATCAAGCCCGCGTTTCAATTCAAAAGCCCAAGAAAAACTGGGTTGGGCTATTCCTATTAAACAAAGGTCGTAACTGGTACTTACCGGTTACCAGTTTGTTTTTGTAGTCCAAATAATCAGGATCGTTTGATCTTTTTAAAGTTTATGTTACAGTTACACCCATATTAAAATTATAGATCATTTAAAATGAGTAATGAATAAATTAAAATATAGAATTCTATATCACATTACGGTGGCGTTTGTTTTTTAAGAGGTATTGAAGTCTGAAGTCTGATTTCACTTTTGATTTTTAAGAGGTGATACTGAATTCTGAAATCTGAATCAGTCAGACTATTTGTTTTTACGTCTGAAGTCTGAAATTTGAAAAATCAATTTTTAAAATTATCTGAACCAAAATTTTCATATATTTAAGGATCTTGATTATTTGTTCAACAAATTATTGGTTAACTTAAAATGATATGACAGAAGAAAGAGTTTAATAAACGTATTCACGTCAGTGTCATTTTCAAATTTTTTTTTTTTTTTGAATTTCGTTGAACAAAACAGATGTGGCATCCCTTAAATCTTATAAACAAAAAAAAAAAAAAAATACCTGCATAGGATTATTTAGGCATCTCGGTAAGTTCTTAATGAGGAAGATGAAGGTTTAAAAATTAAAAGAAAATTGTTAAATAACGAAGAGAACGTGGCAATTTTGGTTGTACGACGTCATTTTTTTTAATTTTAAATATGACGTGGAATTTTAGTTTGTATTTATTTAGATGACGTTTGTTTTTTAAAAAGTGTTGAAATCTGAAGTTTTATTTCACTTATGATTAATAAGAGGTAGTACTGAAGTCTGAAATTTGAATCAATAAGACTGTTTATTTTTCTAAACTGATTAATGTCTGAATTGTTTAGATTTTCTATTTTACCGATTAGAAAATTTTAATCTTGAATTTATAGATAAATTTATATAATTTCACAAATTTATTCATCATCATTACAAAATTTATATTAAAATTATATAATTAACATTCATTTAAACGAAAATATGTCGTTAACAGTATTTAACACATTTAAATCCTATTACTATACACCCAATTGAGAGATGTGAGGATCGAGTTGCTGATGATCAATTGAGAGAAATGATCGATTAAAATTAATCGATTGAGAAACGTCGTTGCTAAAGGTTTCGAGAACAATAAGAGACAAATAAAATAGCATACGTTCATAAAAAAAACGACTATTCGAGTCTGCTAGCCGTAAGAGTTGCAATTTCTTCGAAGATTGAGCTCTTTTGGTCTCTTTGTGGACGTTGAGGTTTTAAACTAGCCACCTAAGTGTTGTAAAAGTATCCCTAACTGATTCTTTATTATTTATTTAAATCAGAGAACCAAAAGTCAAAACATCTGTAAAAAAAAGTGCGTTTCTAACTCCAACTGATTCTCTACCTTAAAATTTTCAACATTAATTATATTAATTAAAATAACGAACAACTTTGTCCATTCCAATACACTTTAAAACAATATTATATAATTACTAACTCAATTTTATTGGTGAGAATGAATAATCATCTCTATTTTGAATAACATTATAAAGAATCTATTGAAACAAAATAAAAAACAAAAAACAAAACCTCAGTCTTCTCTATTTTAAAATATCAATTGGATCAAAGATACTCTAACCTACTTTATTTGTTTATACTAGAATGGTACCCGTGCAATGCATCGAGACATATTTCTATTTCAATGTTTCGTTTTATTTTTTATCTGTGTTGATATAATACGATTTTATATGGTTTTGAAAAGCGATAATGTTTTTATTTTAGAATGAAATATAAATTTGAAAATATCATATAAAATTTGCAAAAAAAATTCAATATTAGTATCAAATTAACTATTTAAAAGTTTTTGTTTGTTTGTTTTTTTTTTTTAATTTAATTTTTTTATTATAATTTAAGTAAACTTAATTTAAGTTTAATAATATATTTTTTAATAAAAATAATAATTAAGTATTTTGTTATAATCAACAATTATTTTAATTATATTTTAGATTTTTTTTATATTTTAAAATGAGATGTTTATCCTTTATTTGATTGTGTTTATCCATAATTGGTTACACGAATTCAAACATAGAGCTTTAATAAGTTGTATTTATGCACAATTTACTTATAATCTTGAATTTTAAGTAATATATAAATATCGAATGGACAAAATGAATAGGATCTCGATAGCCAAATGTTTGCATCTCATATATAGACGTACTCACAGCAGCGATGCAGAGACCATTCAAGATCGTTGAACACCAATCCTCGCTATCGGACAAAATGCACGAACCCGAAAGGGACCCTTCACTTGTGCCTATGGCATATCTTTGCAGTTTCGTATTCAGAAATGCACTCTTGACGTCCATTTAAAAGAACATTGAAGAACAATGAACGCATACGATATGTCACAGAGATGAGCAGAAATCTTATGATAAACTTATAAATAGTGTTAAAGCCTCGAAGAAGTAGAATTATTTTCCTTTCGGGATAAAAGAGCAACTGGAGTTTTACAAGTGTTAAAATTGTCCCACTTTGGTCAGATGTTATCCTCGATATATGTTGGAACCTCCTCTCCTCAAGGACTCTTTCAGAGAGTAATTTTATAGGGTTTCCATTCTCAAATGATATCAGAGCCAATCCCTACCTCTAAAACATCTGTGCTCGGCTAAGGTCCCACATCGGCCAAAACTTGAACCAAGTCTTCTTAATATATGTCGGAACCTCCTTACGTTACGGGATCTTTTGGAGAGTAATTTAACACTCGGTGACACTGTGCACATCTCACATGGTATCAAAGCCAAGGTATGCCTCTAAGACATCTATGCTCAGGGCTCGACACTCCGTGACACTGTGCCCGTCTAGAGTCCCACAACAGCTAAAACTTGGACCTATTCTTCTCAATCCCTCCTCTCCGTAAGGGTTATTTTAGAGAGTAATCTAATGAGATCCCAGATATCTCGTAAAAGTTCAATCAAAAATCTATGCAACAATTTCGAAATATTGTAACAGTTGAAAGGATGAGATGAACAAGAAGGATGTTTATTATCTAAAGGGGAATCATCACATAGAATCCCATAATGGACACTTGTTTTTTTTTCTTCTCTTAACTTCTTTTAAGCTCATAATAGCAAGCTCAAGCATATAGAACATTTGGAAACAGGCTAATCACATAGGAAACAGAAAGAAGCAAAATCCACAACTCAATTAATTTAATATAGAGAAAGAGAAGGATTTAAGAGTGAGCGTAACGTACAGAAATGCGGCGCTGGATGGTTCCTCTACAGGAAGGGCAGTCCTTCATTCCTTGCTTTTCGTGAAGCTCGTTGCATTTTGTACAGACCACCTGATGAGCACAGGGAAGAAAAACCACCGCCATTTCCTCAGATAAACACATGACACATTCCCGTTCACGTTTCACACCTCCGTTACTGGTGACTGTTTCCAAGATGTAAGGTGTCGGGGTTTCTTGTGGGAAAATAGAGGTTTTGATGTCGGATAATTTGCTGGCGTAACTCCCATCGATACCTCTCCTTAAAGCGGCTATTTTTGATGAATCGGCTTTTAATCTCAATAAGGAGATTTCCTTCTTGAGCTTTTCGATATCATCTTTGTATCTTTTTAGATTCTTATCGGCTTTCAATCTAGTTAAATCCTCTCTTGATTTAGCCAAAACTTCACCCTCTTGCCTTCCGATCCTAAACAAAACTGCCTGACTAACCAAATCTTCCTTGGCTTTCTCTTCTTGTTTCCATCTCGTCTGCAAACACAATACCTTCAATGAGAAAGGAAGCAAACAATATAAGAGCATGAAATTACGAGTTACAACTCGAATGCTGGTGATTTTTTCCTGAAAACATGGAGGCTTCATAGGAGTTCTACCCTTAAGAGTTGAGCAGTTGTTTACGTGAGGACCGCTAGCTAGTGAAAAGTGTGTGAACGAGAGAAATGCAGCTATGTTAGAATTAGAAAAGTTAGATAGGAGTGGATAACAGAACATTATTCCAGCTTTTCCAGAAATGAATGACATTGTAAATAGATGGTACTAAGACCTCAGATTGCTGCTGAACTATGACTGCCAGTTCACATGATATAACTTAAGTGATAGCAGCTATTCTTGTCCTTCCCGGATTTTTGTAACCAAGTATGAAACCATCTTATTTTGACACGATACCTCAGTTTTCCAACACCGGTTATCCCGTTTGTAGCTTAACTAAAAGATAAGAACGTACCAGTAACAATGCATTTGTCACTTCAGCTCTACAATCATTTGCTGAGAACGTTAAAACACACACCCGCATGTGTACACCAGTACACGACTGATAGAAGAACAACAAAGAGGTAGTCTTCTTTCTTCTAGTAGTTCTGAACAATCATAAATATGGTGGCACCATATAAACATCAGATCCATGAAGCATGAATAAAGAGTTATGGCTAAAACTTTCCCACATAAGTATGAGAGATTTGATATGGGTCACAAAAGTTCTGGTTAGACTGCAAGTCTATAAAAAATCCGGCCAAAAAGATTACAAACACACAACGAGAAGTGCAGGGGGAATATAGAGGTAACACCGAACCGAAGTATGCCAAGTAGAAAGTATATCTTCGGATCTTTTATCAACAAGGTACAGAGAAAAGTGTGTGTATATATATATATAGAGAGAGAGAGAGAGTTTATGATCATCAATGAATTAGATCTTCCGCTCCATTTTACTAATACTACAACACAAGAAGCTAACCGACTGAACCACAAGGGTGGTGCCTGATTGGTTTGAGCTTGGCTCCAAAGGTCAAAAGTACCAGAAGGTCCCAGGTTCAAATCCAAGGAGAAATAAAAATCCCCTTGTGGCTACGGAGGTTCAAATGCGGTGACTTCGGGCTATCTGCAAAGCAGGTGGTCGCCCTGGGATTAGTCGGCTCGCATAGCGGGTTGGATATCCAGGTTAATAAAAAAAAAAACTAATCGACTTAACAACCTCCTAACCGACTTAGCCTTCTCAAATCATAAACTGTCACATGTCATTGTTACTCTGACAAGATCTATATACTTGGCCAAAAATCGCATGATATGGCTTGAGAGAATAAGAATTGTTGGTTGTATAGTATGCTCCGAGTAGAAGAAGCTTGACTTTGAAGCTTCTCAGTCCAGATAATTAGATGTCATACACAAATTCTTGCAAGACTCTTCAACACCTTTTATTCATTAATTTTCATTGTGTTCATTTTCTCTACCTCTACGTATTTACTTTGCAGACAAAGTGTACATATTTTAATATATACATGATAGGATTTCTTATTTGCTTCAACTTTTCTCTATACTTTTTCATTATAACATTTTCTTCGTACATGTTTTCTTTCTCTAGGTCGAGTGTGTTTAGTGATTGTCACTGTCGCTTCTTAGTAATGAGTTATGTTTACCTAAGTTTTCAATGTTATGTTTAACTACTTTTATGTTGTTGTGTTATGACCTGGACTTAAGAACCACTCATTTCCCTTTCCCACCTCCTACACTTGCTCTATAGCATATTTGCAATAACAATGATATATTCTCTATACTGTAAAAATGTCTAACAAGGTGCGTTTAGTATGCTAGACAGAACATGATTGGAGAACACAAAAACTTGTCCCACATTTGGCACCACATTAGACTGGGATGGGATGGAACAAGACTAAGTGGGACGAAAATGCATTTTTTTTGGCCCCCCAAAATAGGTGGACCAAAAATCAAGAGATAGGACAAGTTTGGTAACATTACTAAACTGCCCATGCCAAATTAATACCCTAAAATCTTTCACAATTCTTTCTCCAGCCTACCCCACTCTCATAGATCTAGTACCGTCCGTGTATCAAACACGCCCTCAGGAAATAAGAAGACTATTGAAAACTTGTATATACAAATGAAGCTTAAACCTCCTTAATCAGTATAAAGAAGAAGTGATAGCATCCTTCTTTTCATAGCATAATAAAGGTGATAGCGGGAAACACCTATAAGAAAAGAAATTTAGGTGTCTGTAACAAGAAAGCGTGCAACACTACTTTTTAATGTTTCATAACAAAACCATACATGCACTATGTTTAACATTAGACCTCTCTCTTCATTTATCCATTGATCAGCTATTCCTCTTCATTATTGAATTTGTATGAACATTACATTCTCTACCTGGGATCATCACTTAGTATAACCTTCACCTAATAATAACACCTAAAAATGTCATTTTAGGTAGGCAATATAAAAAAAAATCACTTTACTTTCATGGGTTTTCATTTGCATGCCTCAACCAAGAGATTTATCAATGGCAAACTTATATAGTTATATTTTCGTAAGAATTAGATAATTTCAGCTCATTGAAATGCAATCTCACAAATCTAAATGTTCAAAACTTGATGGTCTATGTTTAGTCTAAAACCATTTACCTTCTTTCCATTTATTGGTTAATTTTGTTAATTTGGATGACCGTTGAACCGATATGATGAAATCAAGATGGTTGTGATGTATATTAATGTTATCAATAAATCTTTCTGCAGATGTATTTAAAAATATCATGAAAACTCAATGACCACTTATCTATTCTGCATTTATCTAATAGTACATGGTTTTGGCATAACAATTCATTGACACCATATGCCATAATATCAAATTAGACGAAAGAAGGACGCTACTTCCACCACTCATAATTCCATCCTGGAACGATATTTCAATATCGTCTAAGCATTGAAAAGAAAACATGTGCAACAGTACACCAATCAGGCAATCTCTCAGTAACCCTCATGTAGACATAAAAATGATTGGTCCAAGCTCACAAATTTTTGGAAGGTAATGTCAAAATTTTCAATTATTATCATGGACCAGATTCGGCTTACTCACAGGAACCATCATTTTCTAAATTATAGGGGGAATCACATGTCACTCTTCACTATAATAGAGAACATTAAGCTCGCTGGTTACCATTACATGGAAATATGTTAGATATGCTAGTTAAATTCCATTTAGCATGAACATACCTCAAGTTGATCTCTTTGTTCTTTAGCCAGCTCGAGATCTTCTTGCAGCTGAACCAACTTGCGCTTCTCAGTTATAAGCTCTTCTTGAAACAATATTTTTTGCTTTTCCCACAACTGTAATTGCAGAAGTGTCTTTTTTTCTCTTTTTGATACCTCTTCACAGCTAGTAGCTGACTCAGCTGCCTGTAAATTTGCAGCCTCCATCTCTAGCCTCAGATTAGCATTCTCCACCTCCAACCTACAGACAGCAGAATTAGCTCGTTCTACCTGACCACTAGCCTTGAACAAAGCATTCTCCATTTCAGAGAGCTTCTTCATGGTATTCTCTTCCAATGTCTGCTTCTCTTTCTTTAGCCTATCTACTTCTTCTTTTTCTTGTCTAAGTGTCTTAAGTTCGGCTTTATCTTTACCCAGTCTACGAGCAGCTTGCATAACCTTCTGATTAGCCCATTCAGTCCATTCCTGCAACTGATTTTGGAGCTCCTGCACCCTTGGAACAAGCTTCAAAACTGTTTTATCCCTTTTATCTTGTGGGATCCACCGCCCAAAGGACTTGTCATAGGGCATGGCAGCAAAACTAATATTAGGAACCTCAGGCATTGGAACATTGTTGCTTTTCGCAGGAAGTGAAAGAGATAACTCAGTGTTAGCCACTGATAATGCCGGTGGGCTATCAGTCGAAGCCAACATAGGAGGGACATGGATTTTTGCTAATGAAGAAATGTTGTTACTGGAAGTATCTGTATTAAATAGTGAAGGGGAAGCAAGGCTGGTTTGTGTGGTGCCATTATTGTTTATACCTTCAAACGGAAAACCGATCCCCACTCCCTGGCTAATCTGTGAGCCATTTTTAGGACTGTCACCTGTAGAGTCTGACACAGACTTGAGTTTCTTATCCAAAATTAAGCCACTAATGTTACCAAGTTTCCCAGCTCTAGTAGCTCCTTTCAGCCCATGTATCCGGTTGCTTTTCTCCAAATGAACTGACTTCTGTCTCGGTATATAATCTCTCTTGCTAATGCAGGTGATCTTTCTACTCCCTACAACTTTTTCTTCATGTTTTTTAGATGAAAGGCTGAAGGATCTACTCAGTGTTCGAGAAGTAGAGTTTTGATTCCCTTTCTGTGATGCAAATCCATCCAAAACAAAAGGAGCCTTTGGTTTTGAATGAGGAACTTCTGCCTTTGCTGGTTCCTCAGACATACAATTATGTACACAAGGTATGGAAGCCATCACAGGAGCTTCTAAGGGAAAACTGTGAGCACAAAGGGAAGAATGATTTGGTTTACATGGATTTGGAAGACACTCCAAACTCTTGCCATCTTTCCTCAGCTGGTTTTCAACTGAATTAGAGAAACAACCATTTGAAGTCCCATCACCAACTAAACTAGATAATGCCTCACCATCCATTGCACAAGCCTGAGAGACATTCATATCGGATATCAACAAGCACCACATTGCATCCCCAGTGCTGAAAAAAGGCCTGAATTCGCGAAGAACACAAACCAGTTCAGCCAGTATATACTTCTTCATTTGATGTAGATTTTCAAAGTGATGCTCCCCCGACGGATCCATCTCTTGCCCATTTTTAAGTAAAATCAAAGTGTTTTCCGCTATATTTGACACATTGTCTTTACAACCACAACAAAGACCAGCCCTGAGAATAGCCTTAGTGGCAACTTCTTCGGTGTAACCAAAAGAAACTATTTTCTTAATAGCACTCTTGAACATTGTGTCCAAGTTGGCTAAAACAAGTTCTTCCAGCTGAGATTCCGTAAGATCACTCCAATCGGCCTCATGAAATTCATCACTTGCTTCTAGTTCCACTCTATTGTGATTAGCCCCCACCTCGGTTGATCCCACTCCTCCTACCGCACAAGATAGCCCCAAGTCAAGCTTGACGGAATCCGTATTTTCATGACTAAAACTACACATGTCACACCCATTGGAGTGCCCAGGACTCTCAAAATTTTCAGCAGAAAACTCATAACTCAGACATTCGTTCTGAGATGGTGAAACTATCTTTTGGAAACCATTTGGAGGTGGTGGATCAGCTCTGAACTTTCTCTTATTCCTACTTCCTTTTTCTTGGACTGTCATGACAGGTGATACATGACTGGAACTACTAGTACAGGATTTTGCAACAATTGAGGCCATTGTTTGTAGGTGCACAACAGAATCTCCTATAAATGTCACAAATGATGATACAGTTAATAACGTTCACACCAACTTCAAATAACATGTGCAAATCAGTGTGCATGTGTGTGTCTTCCGCTAAAAAACACCCAATTGTTCCATTACAAAAATATGGATTCCATCGTCACCGAGCTATAAACACTCGTGTAATTAACGAAATATACGCAACAGCTCAAAAGATCCTCAATAAAATTCAAAATCCCCTAAAAATCATAAGCTCAACTCCAAATCATACCAGAGGCTTTACGAATGGAAATCAACGAGAAATCAACTAGTTCTCTGCATCAGAAAAAGACAATCTTCTTCGTCAATTACACTTTTATTCATAAGAAGTACTAATTCAATCAATCAGAAAGTAAAAAAGATCAGAAAATAGCAATCGAAACAAGCTAATAACATCATCAACAAGAAATCAAAGTCTATAGAAGATCCTCAACCATACTCAGAAACAAAACGAAAATCAAAATCAAAATCAATACATATTTTAGATTTCTGATTATGAAATGTTTTGGCAAATCGAGATTATACCGATTTGAGGAAATCAAAGGTATGGCAAACGATGCAGGATCGGAGAATAGTAAGAGAAAATCTGATCGTTTTTTCAGTTTTCTTGTTTATTCTCTTTTTCTGCTCTACAGCATTGAACGTGTCTCTCTCTCTGCCTCTTTACAACCTTTGGATTCTTTCTAGAAAAACACACTTTTTTTCCAAAATGGACAACAATTAAAATTAAAACCGGCCGACTACACAAAAAACCTGTAATGTTGGTTTTCAAATGAGAAAATTGTATCAAAATAGAACTAACTTTTACTTAATTTTTATTTTGTGGAACTAATTTTTAAAATTGTCATTTTAGGGAACCAACTTGCACCTGATTCCTATTTTGAGAAACCAACTTTCAAAATCGCCATTTTGGAGAACCAACTTGCACCTGATTCCTATTTTGGGAACCAACTTGCAAAATAGTTATAAAAAAATAACTAAAATTCGTTTTTTTCCAAAAATTAATGCAATAAAATCTATTTTCCATTTCAAATCTTCTTTTTTTAATTCAGATATCAAATTGAACATTATTTAAAAAAAATCCAAATTACCACAATAAAAATTGTTTTTTACTAATGCAAAAAAAAACAATTTAATAGAAACAAATTAATTGATGCAATTGGTTAAATATAAAAATCCTGAATGTGATATTTAATTTTTATTTTTTATTGTATCAATTAATTTTTTTCTATTAAATTGATTTTTTTCATTAGTAAAAAACAATTTTTATTGTGGTAATTTGGATTTTTTTTTAAATGTTCAATTTGATATCTGAATTAAAAAAAACGATATTTGAAATGAAAAATAGATTTTATTGTATTATTTTTTGGAAAAAAACGAATTTTAGTTATTTTTCTATAATTATTTTGCAAGTTGGTTCCCCAAAATAAGAATCAAGTAGAAGTTGGTTCCTCAAAATGACGATTTTGAAAGTTGGTTCCCCAAAATAAGAATCAAATGCAAGTTGGTTCCCCAAAATGACGATTTTGAAAGTTGGTTCCCCAAAATAGGAATCAAGTGCAAGTTGGTTCCCCAAAATGACGATTTTGAAAGTTGGTTCCCCAAAATAGGAATTAGTTGAAAGTTGGTTCCATTTTCGTGCAATTTTCCTTTTTCAAAATAATTATTATAAATATTTAAAAATTGAATTTAACGAAGATGATAATGTTCATATACGTTAAGGTGCATCACATGGGTTAGGGAGTAGGGTGGTAGGGGTCGATCAAGAGGGGTATTTATGTAAATGTGTATAGATCTTTTGGAATTTTATTTCCGATGTGTTCATGATCTGTTTCGCTTGCCAACGGTCCTGATTAAAGACTTGGTTGGATGTGGGATCTACTTCATAAGAAGTGGTATGTGTAGTCAGTAGGTCAATAATGTATATGTGTGTGTGGGTAAACGACAAAGAATGGGTGTGAACTGAACTGTGTATGTGTATTTGAAGGATTGTATGAAATTAATACATATCGCAAGGAGATTAAACGGAAGGCTGAAATATACATGTAACTAGGGGTATACAGAAAGTCATCTGATCCAATTAGAACTGATCTACCATGATTGGATATTCAGTTATAATTGGACTGAAGAGTGGCAACATAGCATCCTGGTCCACATTGCATAAAGTGCAACCTTAAGAACATATACAACATTGCTAATTTGATTTAACAACAAAATAGAAATATATTCAGATGGAAGTTAATCCTATTCTTCTGTTCATCATAATAAAGCTGCTAAAAATAGAAACAAAATATTTCAAAGTGATTAATATGTATATCGTTGATGTAGTGTTATTTAAAGCAAGTTTATATCAGTACAATCATGAGTATGTATGAATTTCAATATCTAAGAAAGTAGAAGAAAGCCCACAACATCCAACACCATATCTATACTATATTATTATAAAGCATTTGATAGAAACTCTTAAAAACAATTTTTTATGCATGAAGTAATGTTTATTGATGCATATTACTTAAAAATTCAAGGTTATGAGTAAATTATGCGTAAGTAAAACTTATTAAAGCTCTATGTTTAAATTCGTGTAACTAACTGCGGATAAACATAATCAAATGGAGAATAAACATCT